GGCCGTCAACTTCAAATTAGTGCCTTTCATTGATCCACCAAGTTACAAAAATCAATTTAAGAAGCAGACACATTTATAAAGAGCTTATTTAGTAGGCTTAACAGAATTATTGAATTATTACTCAGCTCTATATTATTGTGTCAAGATATAGGAAAAAATATGTTTCAGTCACTGTCAATCATTCATGATATCTGCTTTATTTATATGACCACATTGTTGTCGCCTCTGTCCGTCCGTCCATCCATGTGTCCGTTCACAATTTGGTTGTTTTCGATACTTTACAGGTCACAATTCTTATCCGATTTTGACGAAACTTGAAATATAGGTTTATCTTTAAAAGATCTTGGTTCCTTTCGATATTGGCATGTATCGAATTGAAACTTCATGGATTATGGCCCCTGATTGTACAAAAATTCATGTTTTTAGCTTGTGGACACTCTAGAGGTCACAATTTTTATCCGATTTAGATGAAACCTGTAATAATAATAATAATAATGTATATTTGTAAAGCGCCAATCCATCTAGGCGTGCACTATGTACTCTATGGTCACTATTTACACACATATCTGGATCCACTCTAGCTAAAATGCACTGGAAAATAGATGAGTTTTGTTTTATAAGATTCAAGTGATGGAGCTGTTTTAAGGTGATGGGGTAAAGAATTCAACAATATAGGTGCCACGTGCTGGTTTATCTATCCATGTTTGCTTTCCTATCGGTTCTTGCATAAGATTTACTGTTTAGCGTATCATTGCTGTAAAGTGTGTTACGTTTAATTTGATCGGGAGACATGTTCGTCAACGTCAACCGATAACACTGCAAGAATTGGCCGTGGCACTGCAAGAGGAGTGGGTCAGATTGCCCCAAATCATGATTGGACGGTTGATTAGGAGCATGTCACGGCGAATTGCTGATTGTTTGAGGCTTGGTGGAGCAATTACTTATTATTAAGACAAAAATCAAAAACGTCCATTTTCAATTTTGATGGTGTATCTCTTTGCGAGTGAAATGGGGCCATCAGATAAGCCGCCCATATAAACTGTTTATGTTCATGTGTAGGCAATTGGCCTGTTACATGTACATGTATTAACATACACTGGTTACCTCTAATAAAACCAGCAGTGCATTTCCGCAGTTTTGTATTGTTTCTGAATATCCCCTACTTTTTTTGAAGAGTGTATTTGGACTAAAAACCTATTCAAACTAATTAATCTTTCAAAAATTTGCTTCAAATCCTTCTCAAAACTTTGTAATCGCTGGGAGATTCCTATAGCTATAAATAAACTGTTGTTAGACGCAATGTCTGTCAACTTACTTCATTGTGGGAGGGTCCATTTTTCAGAATGTATTTTTCATTACTTACTGTCCATTTACCATACGGGGGACTGGATTGCCAAATGGTTAGCACGTGCACACTGTATCATAAGGTCTGTCATTGAGTCAACTGGCGTTTTATCGATTCCCTGGTTGTACATGACAAGGAGTAGGGTCACCTCCATCTTCCTCCCACTGCTAAAGACCCCTACGCGCAAGCGCATTACTGAAATAAAATTGGACCATGATTCAGATACAATAACTATTTTAAAAAATTACCTAATATTACCTGATTACTCTCTTTGATTCAGATATCATCGACCAACTTTATAAAATAACTATTTTAAAAAATTACCTAATAATATTTTGATTTTAATGACACTATGGATAATATCGGTTATTTCATGATAATGTTTGGATTTTACTGGAAGTTTATAGATGATACTAATCGATATATGTCACGAATGATGTGACATACCATATCAAGTTAGAATAAAAAGACTAAGCTTTATACATCGGAATTAGCAATCATTGTTGCACATAAGTCACGTAAATCAACCAATTTCATCATTTTTGCCAAATCTGGACCCTCAGACCCACCTCTGCGTAAAAAGGTACAGTCTTAATAATCATATTGGGTTGTTGGGTAGCCAAGTGATCTAACATATGCTCTTTGTTCTTAATGTCTATTATGGAGTCAAATGTGAAAATAAGTAGGTTGCCTGCTGCATTTGAAGGTTTTTACTGAGTTTTCACTTATTGCACAAACAAATTATTGAATAACGATTTAACCGAACATTATCCCCATTGCCATTTCTCTCTCTCATTTGGTTAAGTGACGAATTAAAATATTGATAATATATGCAAGAACTTTAGACAATCTACCGTTATTTAACATTGAGGAAATGGATTTTTGCTGCCGTCTTTGTCAAATACAAAGTGGACTAACACCAACAATTATATATAGTGGTCCTTACATCTAAACTAACTCATGTGTCCAACATTACTGAAATTGTTTTATATTAAGTTGATGTTATTACATTCAGTCTGAAATCATTAGAAATAAAAAAAAAATCAATGAATGTTTCCAGTACAAATCCTACTGAACTCGTTTACAGATGATTAAGAAATAAAAGAAGAAAAAGTGTGATGCTAGACTTCAGACACAGAATTATATTCAGAGAGATTCCTTAAACAATCAACCACTCAGTATAAGCCAAACCTCAAAGGATTATCTGGCCTTTTGCATAACCGCTTCTATCTGACTAAATCAATGACATACACACACAGATAGCTGTCTGTCTAAACAGCTTGCATTTTCCATGAAATAAATGTCAATGGTTTCATAACAATTTCCTTCTTATGCTGTCTCACTAATGCCACTCATGGATGTGCAAACCATTTATGTTTTTCTTCAAATATCATTCGGCAAACTAATTGAAGTTACATTTTTTGTTGGATATTTGATGATTATTTTTTATCCTTCCGGACATCCACAATTTGTTTGTGGACACTCTACAGGTCATAATTTTTATCTATTTTGACGAAACTTAAAATTTAGGTTTATATCCCAAAGATCTTGGTTCCTTTTGATATTGGAATGTATCAGAGAATAATTTCATGGATTATGGCCCCTGATTGTACGAAAAATCATGTTTTTATCTTTTGGTATGTGGACCTTCTAGAGGTCAGAAATTTTATGTGATTGTGATGAAACTTAATATATGTTTATATCCCAATCTCAGAGATTTCAATTCAATATTGGACCATATGTAACTTCCTGGATTATGTCCCGTGATTGTAAGAAAAAATCACTTTTTTTTAGCTTGTTTTCTGTACATCTCTTGCAAAATTTGGGCATATCTTACATGGCAATGGCTTATTTAGTTTTCATATGTCCACATTGAAATATACTTGAAAATATATTTGTTTCCCTGTCTGGCAGTATGTCATCTACAGTACAATTACTTGTACTTGTGGACTCTAGAGCCAATATGACTGCCAATCTTACTGTGTGTGAAATATGGTTGTTTAACTTTCGCTTCCAATCCAACAGGTTGGTATTTCAGGCAGGTGTCTACCTGATGTACATTTGTCTTTTTATACGCCCACATTTTCATGTTGACGTCTGTCCGTCCACAAATGTTTGTGAACACTCGACAGGTCACAATTTTATCCGATTTCAATGAAACTTGAAATATAGGTTTATGACCCTAAGATCTCGGTTCGTTTCGATATAGGCATGTATCGGACCGTTTCTTCATGGATTATGGCCCCTGATTGTACGGAAAATCACGTTTTTAGCTTGTGAACACTGTAGAGATCACAATTTTTATCCAATTAGGTTTAAACTTGAAATGTATTCATAACCCACAGATCTTGGTTCCTTTGGATATTTGCGCATATCGGACCATAACTTCCTGAATTATGGCCCCTGATTGTACAGAAAATCACGTTTTCAGCTTGTGGACCCTATAGAGGTCACCATTGAGTTTTGTGAAAATTGGACCAAAACTGTCAGACAAAATCGCCGCCTCTTGTACGCAAATAGTGTGAACATCTGGTATATCAAGGTTGTGGACCTCCTAGAGGGCACAATTTTGATTCTATTTTGATGAAACTTGAAATGCATGTTTATAATCCAAAGATATTGGTTCCTTTCGATATTCGCGCATATCGGATCTTAACTTCCTGAATTATGGCCCTTGATTGTACGAAAAATCGCGTTTTGAGCTTGTGGTCCCTATAGAGGTCACAATTTTTATCCGATGTAAAAAAAACCATGTGAATATATCACAGTTGTACACTAATGATGGTTGAGTTAGAATTTCGTGAAAATCGGACAAAAATTGTGCACAAGTAGTGTAAATATGGTATATCTAGGTTGTGGACCCTCTAGAGGCCACAGCCCACAGTTTTTATCTGATTTGGATGAAACTTTTAATGTATGCTTTTATCATAAAGATCTTGGTTTCTTTTGATAATCACACATATCCCAAGAAACTTACTGGATTATAGCCCCTGATTGGTCGAAAAATTGCATTTTTAGCTTGTGGATTCTCTAGGCAATTTTTTTTCCGATTTTAAAAACCATTTAGATATATTACTATTCCACCATAATGAAGGTTGAATTAGAATTTCAGGAAAATCGAAATGAAACTGCCCGACAAAATGGCCGCTCTTTTTACGCAAATTGTGTATAAGTATGAAATACAAAGATTATGGACCCTCTAGCGGTCACAATTTTTATCCAATTTTGATGAAACTTAAAACATATCTCTATATTCCAAACATCTCAGTCCCTTTTGATATTTTCGTTTTTCAGACCATAACTTTGTGGATTATGGCCCCTGATTGTACAAAATATCCTTTTTGTTTTTAGCTTGTTCTCTATCCATCTCTTGCAAAATGTGGGCGTATCCTGCCTGGCAGCCACTGGTTATATTATAACAATTAATTGATGATGGATAAGTCAAGTGTTGACACCAAAACAAATACTGGTACTATAGAGAATTATAATCAAAGACATTTACAATTGTTACAATAAACAATCAAGTATTAACCACTTACGTAACCTCAATTACAATGTATAATATTACCTGGTCATACTAAACATATCATCTGACCTAAATTTAAACACAGTGTTTTGTTTTATTCACATAGTAATTAAAGTTTTTGAATTACAGATCCAGAATGGACATCATGCAGTATTGGAATATTCTTGTGTCAGGAATGTGCTGGAATTCACAGATCTTTAGGTACAGAGAGTAGAGTTAGATCATCTAGACTTGATAACTGGGATACAGAACAACTAGAGGTAGATATAAACTTTATTTTTGAGCCATAAATTGTTACTAAAGCATAAGCTTATAAATGTTACAGTCAATCTGTCAAAGCAGGCATTAGGGCTAACGTCTAGGCATTTGGCCAAATGACTACGAATAAGCAGATCTTGTTAGAGATATTGCCTAAAATGCCTTTAGTCATTATGTCAAACATGTACATTGTATTTCTGAGTACAAAAGTGGATTACCTAGTTCGCCAGAACAACAACAGGAAATAGTCAGGGAATCCCAACATCGACAAGCAGAAAAACTGGTGAAGAGAAGTAAGGTAGCTATGAAAGCTGGAAGTATTGGTAACAATGTGCCAATTCCATAAGTAGATCAAAGCTGTTTTGATGCAAAAAACATCATTGGTGTGATTGTTGACATTAGTGACAGTGAATATGTTTATGGAATAAACTTATGTTATTATACCTTTATGAATCCTGCATGTCATGTTCTTTAAACACATTAGGCATTAGGCTAAATGCCTGACCAATTCATTTAGTCTCTTGGTAAAATGACTTGAAAATTCACGCATCTTACCAAATCCCCAGTCACATTGGGCATTTGACCAAATCGTTAAGCCTTTGGCCAAATGATGGATTTGACAGATTGACTGTAACATATATATGATGAATTAGTATGACAAATGAAAATAGATATGGATCTCAATGACTCAATGAACTCCATTGTTTTGCCTGTAAATTTTTCTTCAAATAAATGGGGCCTTGGATATTAAACAAATTTTCGCAGTAATAATTTCTGTGGTGTACCGTCTAAAGTTGCCATCTTGATTACTCTAAAGGCTTTATATTTGTCACTAAGAGCCTCACAAACAATGCAGCACAAGGCACACCTAATTTCTCTATCACAGACATTTCATTGATGATTTTATGTTGTGTATGTAAATTCTCCATCTCTGGTGTGGTTATGGTGATTTTTATATGCCCACATGGAAATGTGCTTGTATATTGTCGTCACCCCCTTCTGTCCATCCGTTAGTCTGTCTGTCAGTCCGGCGTCCACAATTGCCTGTGGATACTCTAGAGGTTAAAGTAAAATTAATGTCCGATTGACTGTAAATTTATACACATTGTTTAAGTTCATGAGACGAAGAAGTCTACTGATTTTCACCAATTTCCGATAATTACTGCCAGAGTTATGGCCCTTGATCACTTTGAAAAACCTTGTGGACGCTCTCGAGGGTAAAGTTAATATCCGATTGACTTTAAATTTATACACATTATTTAAGGTCATGAGATAAAGAAGCCTACTGTTTAAGGTCACGAGATGAAGAAGCCTACTGATTTTCACTGATTGCTGATAATTACTGCCAGAGTTATGGCCCTTGAACACTTTGAAAAATCTTGTGGACGCTTCAGAGGTTAAACTTAATATCTGATTGACTTTAAATTTATATACAGTAAGTTTAAGTTCATGAGACGAAGAAGCCTCTTGATTTTCATTGATTTCCGATGATTACTGCCAGAATTATGGCCCTTGATCACTTTGAAAAATCTTGTGCACACTCTAGAGGTTAAAGTTAGTATCCGATTGACTTTAGATTTATACACAGTGTTTAAGGTCATGAGACGAAAACACCTATAATTACTTCCAGAGTTATGGCCCTTGATTACTTTGAAGAATCTTGCGGATGCTCTACAGGCCAAAGTGATCATTCGATTGACTTTAGATTGATACATGGTCTGGAAACGAACAAGTATATTGATTTTCAATGATTTTTGATAACTTTAACAGCTAAATTCATGATATTAAATGTTTTGTATACTAAACGTTACCATGGGATAGAACAAGAAGCCAGCTAAATTCATGATATTAAATGTTGTGTATACTAAACGTTACCATGGGATAGAACAAGAAGCCAAACAAATTCTAATATGATATTAGTGTATTATAAATGTTTCATTACCGAAAAAATAAAAAATTATGCAACTCTTGTTGACTACCCGGACAACTTAGCTGCTGTGGGCATATGTTTTGTTACCTGGCAACCAATCTTTATTCAAATATTCACCCATACATTGAGTTGTTAAATACAAACTAAATAGTGTGGCATCCATCATGGCTTCAAGAAACAAATAGTTTGTTTGCGTTAGTTGCACATATATAGTGACAAAAAGATTTGAAAATAGCGGATAAATAGTCCTTGGTGTACACAGGCCTTAATCAAGATCTTTTGCGGTTTGCCAAAGCAAATTTTGTGTACATAACAATGCATGAATCAATATTAAGACAAGTGTGTTCTATTACTTGTAATGCATGTTGTTTCAGTATATGGATGGTGTAGGTAATGATAAAGCTAAACAAAAGTATGAAATGTGTGTACCAGCATTTTATAGAAGACCTAAAAAGAATGATCCGAAGTAAGTTTACATTTTCATATTATATCAATATTGATGATCTACCAGTAAGTGGTGCTTTCCATCTGGGTTCTTTTTTACTTAAATCTTTCTCAATTTGAAATTTCTGTATTTCCAAACATCTGAAGTCTACCCCTCAATTGCTGATTATACTCTAATGTTGATAAAACCTGTTGACTATATTCTATGTAATTTTTGTGTCTGATCAATAAAAATAGCAATGAATCTACACGAATATCACAAAAGCTGGTCTTTGAAGATTTCTTGAAATGTAATTTACATGATGGTTAACGTTGTATTTTAGTGTAGTAAAGAAGGAATGGATATTAGGAAAGTATCTGAGATTTGAATTCACAGAACCAGCACAACAGATGGCATACACCAGTCAGCGTAAGGAAGGGAACCTTATGAAATTAGGACGAGATCGAAGGTTATATCAATCTAGAAAGTTTGTAATTGATAGAGCAGAAAATAAATTATCTTATTATGTTATTGAGGATTCTGGGAAGGTAAAGAGCAGTTCATCATTTATGTCACCTGCTTCCCGCTCTTCTTATTCTTTTCATTCAAAGGTAATTAATAATATACTAACAACACTTCTTATTAATATACAATGCACAGATATATCTAATACTGTTTGCACGGTGTAGGTCGTTTGGTGCTGACATACTATTAAACACCATTTCATTCATTCTATGCAAGAGATCTTTGATTCAGGGGTGGGGGGATGGCCGAATGGTTAGTGTGTGCGCATTGTATCATAAGGTCTGTCATTGAGTCAACTGGCGTGGTTTAGATTCCCTGGTTGTACGTAACAAGGGTCGCCTATCAAATCAAATAAAGACCCCTATGCGCAAGCAAATTCTTGAAATAAAATTGAACCATATGTTAATCCTGAAATGACCTAGAGTGTGTCTTGTGTGGATGTTAAACCCCATTTTTCTCTCCCTCTACTCTACATGCATCTCTCTCTCTCTGATTCAGATATCATCCACCAACTTTATAAAATAACTATTTTTAAAAATTACCTAGTCAAACTGCAGTGACATGCAGTGATCTCTAATAAATGACTGTAGTTGATCTTTTGTTAACTTTAATTGCTGTAAATAGTGTAAACAAAAAGTCATTTTGGTTACCAGCTAATTTAAGGAATTGATTTTTTAGAAATATAGGGGTTTGTAGGATAAAGTTAGCTGCAGATGAAAGGTCTTTAATCCATACAAGGATTTGGCATGATTTGTTTTATGAACACTGGATTTTAAGGGCTTGTGTAAGTGAGGATGGAGACTTAAACAATTCTCTAGTCTTAACAGATATTTTAGTTCTATCTTCATTAACAATTTAGCAGGAAATACCATGTGGTTATCAGTATGTTGTATGTGTAGTAATATTAATATAGAAAGGTCATCATATTCAATAACATTAATTAATATCAAACAGCTAACTGGATTAATTTGATATGAAAATAACTCTAATGGTTAAGCAGTTGGATATCAACTATAGACTATCAAATGGGTGGAGTTTGGTTTATTCTCCATTAACACTTCGAAAGATTTTCCATGGTTTATTCTCCATTAACACTTCGAAAGATTTTCCAAATTTTTGATATCCCTCCCAATATTTAACACTGATATTTTTGGGCAACTGTAGTAAACAATCATTAATTGATAATCTTGAATTTAAATAGCTCAATCAGCCAATATACACTAGGGGCATGGATTGATTTACCATAAAGAATTGCAAGTTATTGTTGAATATAAAGCAACCTATTTATGAAGTTGTGCTGTATATCTACTGGTATATTGTGTAGTGATAACATTAATGAAAAGATCAGTATTCTGCTAGATGTCAAACAATATGAATAATTGATGTACAAATGTATCAGTGTTGGTGTGTTGACGTTCTGTTAAGTTATTTCTCAGCACAGATTCTATCTTAGTTCTATTTCTTTACATCTTTTTATACACCCAAATCTTAAAGTTATTATTTACCCAATAATCAATTAGCTTTGTTCACCGATGTTTTTGTAATAAAGTAGCGTTTGTGATAAAGATTAGGTTATAATGTCTAACATCATTTAACTTCCTTATAAAAAAGGTATTTTACAATTACATTGACAGTTCAGTCACTCACCAAACAGCATCAGGAACTCGACGTATGATCACGTGTATTTGATATTCATGTCCATGAAATGAAATGGAGTTTAACATCCTACTGTTCTGCTCCTAACCTGGGCTAATGAAGACGGGCATACACCATACAGTGTGCTATGAGGGAAATTTTGCCTGGGCAGCGGTGCTACGGCCTACTCTTATATCGAATTCCAACTGCCAAGGGATCTTTTACGTGCACGCCAATGTGTACATGGGACCTCGGTTTTTTCGTCCCATTCGAACAAATAGACAGCTGTCCTTGTCAGGCCCTCCATCCTGCATCACTGACAAGGGAAACCACGCCAGAAAAATCTGAATGAACTTTCTCAGCCAATGCAGGGTAATGTCCATGAATCCCATGCAACTTTTGCATTAAAATTTAACCTCAGTTACTACGCCGGTAGTATGCATGGAACCGTACATGGTAATAAGATTCCCAGCGTTGATTGGCTGAGAAATGAGGGTGATCTATTGTTATGCATAGTCATCGAAAAATTCCATATTCACTGTGAATTTCAAATGGAGTTATGATGAAAGTTGTTCTTTGAGTATAGAAATGGTTATTATTATTACATATAGCTAATAAAGAATATATCGACAAATGACTGGCACCATTTGTATTTCTGTACTTATAGAGAATAGTTTAGGATATCAAGTATTACAGGGTTATCCAAATTTAAGCAGCTTAAATGGATCTACGGCATGATACGGCATTTTAAATTCACTCAAAAATATTCCAATCACAAATGTCTAATTTATAACAATGCAAGACGATAATTCGGTGATTATAATTAGGCCAGTCACATGTTAAGTGGACCGTCAATAGACACTAGTCAACTGGTGGTGTGTATAAACAGTGATATATTGTACAGTTGTTGTTCTTTGTGTTTAACGCCCGCTTCCACCGAAGGTGATATCGCAGACAAGTTGTCTTTTTTATTTTCATTATCTTAGCACACGCACAGGGGTCTTTCCTGTAAACCCACGAGGTTGAGAAGGCACCCATATCTCCAAGCCACATACGCTCACCCTAGGGATCGAAACCGCAAGCCAGCGGTGACCGGCCAGCTAGATGTCGAAGCGTGACACTCTAGACCACTAGGCCATCCCAACCCCCCATATTGTACAGACAGTGATATATTGTATATACTATGGCATGTGTAGTCCCTGTGACGTCACCAGCCAATCAACCGGATTAAGGTTGTAATTGAAAATTGAATAAGCGTTTTGTGGTCTCGGATACTTAAACGTTAATACTATAGCTGAATTAATTTTAATCAGATTGGTGTGAACTTGCCGTAAAGTGGATATAGTAACCATTGGTTATACGTATCGAAAAGTTTTTTTCTTCAAACCTTATGTGCACTTTAAGATATGTTTGCATTTAGATCGGTGCAGTGAAGATAAAAATAACACAATAAAAAGGCTTGTAAAGTACAAGTTGTAATCATCCTTGATGCTTAACTCTGTTTGCACTCTAATTTATCTGTAAAACTGTTTCTTTCAATATTTTTTTTTACCTTTTTATTTGAGTATGTAGATTCAGAAACTATTACCACTGATCCACTCAAAAATATGATGTTATATATGGCAGTCTTCATATCAACATTGGATTTGCACATTTGTCTGTAATTATGCACTCAATGAATAAACACAATCTAATTATAGCATTCCCTATTAGTGTGTACAAATCAAGAGAGAAAAATGGCATACAAAAGTATGTAATACCAAGGTGGTGGACCCTCTAGGCGCAATTTTTATCCGGTTTTGATGAAACTTGAAATATAGGTTTATATCCCAAGGATATGTCGAACCATAACATCCTGGATTATGGCCCCTTATTGTATGCTTTTTTTTTTAGCTTTTTCTCAGTCTATATCTTGCCAAATTTGGACATGTCTTGCATGGCAACTGCTTTTTATTTCTGTATGACACATACTCAAAATGTGGATGTGTCTTGCATGGCAACCACTTTTTATTTCTGTATGATACATACTCAAAATATGCTGGCTAATTACTGAGAAACAATTTTATAGTGATACTCTTGATTTTGAATATGTAGTTACTATTTAGCACAGTAATAAATGAAGATATTAAAAATGACTCCTATGAATATGCGTACTCAGATTACCATATGATAGAATAATTGAAGGAAATGAAATAATAATAATATGATAGTGATATCACATATATCATCAAGTTTAAATCTCCCACCATATTTCATTACATGTACACCAGATAATAAATATCTGTGTAATTATATTTCTCTGTCTGAGTAACCATACTAATAATATGTTAAATAACATATAACTTCAACATTTTAATTTGTAGTTTGCCTATAAAATTTTAAATAACATGTTTAATCTACAGCAGTCAACACCTAAACCTAAAGCTGAAATCAACCTAGATGAAGTCAATGCTGTTTTTGTACCCGAAAAAATGGGCAATCCATATGGCTTACAAATAACATACTATAAAAATGGCTCAACTAGATGTTTATATTTATATTCTGAAAATTCTAAGGTAATAATTATTTATATGTATATATTTTTTAATAAATAGCATTAAATACTACTAAAAAGACTCAACAATCTTTAAAGTTTAACAAAACTCTTAGAATAATCTCATGGACATTGTACAGCTAGAAGTGTTAAAATGGATTGTTGCAGGGGTTATTATTTCCCTTTGAGTTCAGTTGGGGCTGAAATTATTTAGCAGTGTAGTAATAAAATAGTTTTGTAAAATCTGGTTTATTTTCCAAGTGCCTCTTTATTTTCACACGGTAAAAATGAAATTAACTCAACAAAGAGATATTTACTGAAAATACGTTCCAAAATCGTTCTGACCTTATTGTAATTAGGTTGGTTCAGATAAAAAAAAATTAAATGAAATGGGGTTTAATGTCCTACTGTTCTGCACCAACTGGGCTAATGAAGATGGCCAGACGCCAAACAGTGTGTTATGAGGGAAATTTTGCTTGAACAGCGATACTACAGCCTACTGTCAAGGTTTCTTTTACGTGCACGAATATGCTGCCATGGGTCTTCACTTTTTCGTCCTTCCTCCGAATGACTATACATTGTCCATTGCTAGGCTCTTCATCCCACACCAATGACAAGGTGGAACCATGTCAGAAAATCCTGATGAACTTTCACAGGATTGAACACAGGATTGCCAGGTTAGCAAGCCAACGACTTACTCAATGAGCCCCTGTGGTTCCCTGGTTCAGAAAAGTAGGATATTAAACCCCATTTCATTTGATATTGATACTGGATCCATGCTAGCTTATCACTAGAGTAGGAATTATAATAATTTAATTTGTTTTATAGGAAATTGTAGATTGGTATAATGCAATAAGAGCAGCTAAATTAGAAAGAAGACAGATTGCATTCCCTGACAGAACACTAGAACAGGTATATATAAAGTATTTGTCATTAAAACTAAAACTAACTGACCAAGTCTCAATGATATAGTTTCCAGTCAGAGACTGATGTTACTCAGCAGAGTTGTGAAAAAAGTGGTACATGTCTAACTTGCCTGCAGCATGAATCTCTCCTAACCTCTTCTCATTTTAATATGGCTGCAGGACCTGTTTTTAGTTCAAAATAAAAAAAAAACAATCTCATTAATTACCCAACGTTATGATTTTAGCCAGGTTACAGCAATTAACTCAATGAATTTTTTTTAATGAATCAATAAATGTGGCATAGGCTCATTTATCAAGTACACAACTCTAATAAATGCTATTGGCAGTCATAAATGTTACTGGATAATCATACATTCCTATACACCACACATGACAAGATAAATGAAGTGCCTTGAAATGTGATGTTTATGAGAAGTCATTTAGCCCAGTAGTGATCCAATAACAACACGACCTCCCCCCCCCCCCCCTCCCCAATCAGATTTTGGGTAAGGATTATCTGAGAACCAGAGTATTCATTTTTTATTCCCCGACATTGGAGTCCTTTCCTGATCTCTGAGTTGTTTTCTACAGAAGTGTGCAAGAAACAGTCAGAAGATTCATACTATCATGCATGTTCCCACACTGATCCGCAGTGAGTATTCGCTTGGCCGCTACAATCACTGATAAGAATGACATCATGCGACTTAATGACTACAAAATATTAACTTTTTTCTTTCGACAAATTAAATTCTGAAACATTTTTTTTTAGTATTAGAAAAATAAATAAAGGTGTTTGAAGTATATCTTGATAAAAAATATTCCATATTTAGCGTAAATAGGTACAGAAAATAGTACGCAGAGGTGTAAAATGGGTAAAACAATATAATTCTGCCCGTACCAGTTCATATTACTACGTTCGATGTAAACAATGCACCTGTGACCATCAATTTGACGTTTTTTTCTGTTTGTTTACCATCTAATCTGATTGACCTGCTCGTGTTTGTTTTAAAACAACAAAAACAAGCCACAGAAGTAATCTTTTTTGGCATTATCAATGCCATCTTGCTTTGTTGGTAAACATTGTGATGTGACGTCACCCTTAGAACTACAGCGGTCTGACCTTTTAAAGGTCAGTCATCTTGGACAGAGATAAAAGACGGATGTCGCATTAGGTCTGTAAACAGATTGGCATGTTCCTCTTAAAAATAATATTTTGAATTATATATTACAGTTATCAGAAGATTTAACAAGAGACTTTACTTTAGAAGGCTGGTTATCAAAGATGGGTCCAAGACATGAACCATTCAAAAGACGGTGGTTTACACTTGATAGAAGAAAGCTGAGTTATTTTGAGGATCCCTTGGTATGTGTGCCACATTCTTTGATTCAATATCATTGTATTTGGCAGGGGAATTATGATTTGAAATTTCCTGATTCCATCCCAAAAAGAACTGAATAATAATTATTGTAATAGGGCCATTCTTCTAATTGGTCTTTCTTTGTAGCCTCTGTTACATCTTTCTCCTTGACAAGAACTACCAAATTCTAGAATTATTCCCTGCTATTAAAAAGTCTTGTTAGCACCTTAGAGGCTTTGATCAATTTCATCTGTAAGAAATTGTTTTAGTTGTTTAGTTCATATCGTTTTGGTTATTAGACCTTCTCTGTTGCTAAATTCTACTTCCATAGTAAATGGAAACTGAGTTTCAAAATGACCTAAAGTATAAATCTATTCCAATTGTTTTCAGAATGCATTTGCTAAAGGTGAAGTATTTATTGGTCATAAAGATGCAGGATATAGTGTAACTATTGGAGCACCAGAGGATCAGTCTAATTGTGGTGAATATTGTTTTCAACTACATGTACCCGATAGAGATTATGTGATGAGAGCTGAAACAAAAGATGAAATGGAACAGTGGGTAGAAGCTTTAAAAAAGGTTGTTGAATTACCCTTAACTCCACAAGATACCAAGCGTAAGTACAAATATTTCATCTCAGATCTTATCTGTAAGGTAGCCACAGTGATTCAATGAGTATGGCACTGGGTTACTAACCAGGAGGTTGCGGGTTCGACTCCAGTGTTGGCATAGAAAGTTCATGCATCTACATGTAGTTGTTGAGATGGGATGAAAGACAAGGTCCACTTGCAGGGCTCACACTGTCGGTCGCCAAACTCACAATTTGCGATAAAAATATGAAAGTGGCGATTAAAATTTGATTTTGGCGATAATTTTGCCGATAATGTTTTGCGGTACTGGCAATTCTTTTTGAGAACTGGCGGAAAAAATTCTTAAAATTCTAATTGTATTTATCCTGGATTAACCATTAATTGAGTGTCAATCACGTGGCGGAATACTATAACTTAATCAACTGGCTGATAATCTGGATTGCGTCAATGAGTAATACTAATTAGTTGTCTTGGATTAATGATTAGTTGATTGATAATTGCCAATGATATATATAAAGCCTATCTTAAGTCATTATTTACTCCTAATGATTAATCAAAGCTGTGATTATTTGATGTTTTGTTTCGTCTTAAAAAATGTTAATACATACAATCAAAATGGCCGACAGTTCCTTTCGAAGAGAATTAAATATTTTGATACCTGAATTCGTTTACAGTGGCTTCATATACGTCATGTAAGACATACAAGCATGCCTATCAGATATCATTATTTCAAATTATATTATCACCACTGGTCGAAAACGTAATATGTATCCTATTACTGTTGCCAAAATGATCTAGAGGTGAACGACGGGTATAATTGTAAGCATCTCTTACAAAAATATAATTGAAATTTATATCATTCTATCAGGGATTCAGATTCTGATACCTTTACGGTACCTGAAAATAACTATTGGCCTATTGTACACGCAACACATAAATTTATAGAAAATTGGCAATCCTTGAATGAGATCTAATGTGTAAATACTGAAAATATATTGTGCAGTACGGTGTTCAAATAGACTAAAGTCACCCAAAAAAATCGGACCTTATTAAATCCAAACTGTTTTAACGTATTATATACAGACAGATTTTTAAAGTTGTTGTATATTGTATTCTATATATGGTTAATTGTTTTATAATATTTTTATAATATTTTAATATTATGTCTCAGCTAGGCTTATTAAAATTGTTAGATGTTGTCTTTTTTATCACACATTTTTGGCAGATAAAATATTCCAGTTGGCGGAAAAAAAATATGAACATTTTTATATATAAAAATTATCATCCATTTTGGCGGAAAAAAATTGAAAGCCAGTGTGAGCCCTGTCCACTTGTGTAATTACTGACATGCATGAAGTTTCCCTCTTGTAGTACACTGCTTCATTAACCCTGTTGGTGCAGAAAAATAGTACATTGTCATTAAACCTCATTTCATTGATTCATTGTCCCCCATCTTTTAAATGGATATGTTTGTCTGTTTGTCACACATTTTGGGACACAATAACTGCATCTAATCTATAATTTTGCTAGAAGTGAAAAACCACTTTGACTTGAGTCATGAGTGCCCATACAGTTTACTCTGACCCCTGATGTTTGAAACAATCCCAACAATTTATTTGTATATTTCATATTTGTATTTTTTTTTTTTTCAGTTGCATCTATATTAGTATCGAAGAAATCAAACTCTATTCGGTTATATCGTAATTAGACTATAGTTTTTATTATTTTACTGTTGTTGTTTAATATTGTCATACAATAGACATTAATATAAGTGCAATGCAGGGCTAGTAGGAATAATGGTGCTCAATTATAATGCTATTAGAATTAATTATTATACATGTTATCTGAAATAATGCAGCTCATGAATTATTAATAAGTTTTAATTAGTGATTCCCTATTTGGGCATTTAAAATACAATCTTATAGGGACTATTAAATGCCTTGTTAGAATTGTATTGATGTTAATATATGGGGGAGGGGGGGATTAAAATAGTGGTACATGTATATTAGTGATTATTGAACACAAGTAAAATAAATTAGTTTTGGTTGGGACCATAGTTTATATTGTGATAGTGCCATCATGTAAAACCATATGATGTAAAACAAAATAATTATGCCGCAAGCAATTTATGCGACATGAAAGTGGTTGACATAAATGTGTATCGTAAGGAATGTGCCCTACTGTACCCTACTTATGTCTAAAATAACCCATGCGTAGCTTCTTGTATGTTTAACAAAGAAGTGAGACACCAGTTATTACACAATTCCACCATTTTAATTTATCATATATTATTTGCTTACGATACAGAACGGAAATGGGTGTTGAAATTAATACGGCTAATATTACATCACGTTTAATGCATTAATTTCTTGTTTGCATTAATTTCTTGTTTTACAATATTTAAATGTATAACCATATTGTTGACCAATATTTTTTTATACGCCCACATTTTCATGTGGACGTATTATGCCTTCGCCCCTGTCTGTCCTTCCAGACGTCTGACCATCCACAATTTGTTTGTGGACACTCTAGAGGTCACAATTATTATCCGATTTAAAAAAACGTTCGAATATATCACCGTTACACCATAATGACGGTTGAGTTCGAATTTCGTGAAAATTGGACCAAAACTGCCGGACAAAATGGCTGCTCTTTGTATGCAAATAGTGTAAACATTTGGTATATCAAGGTTGTTGATCCTCTAGAGGCCACAATTTTGATTTGATTTTGATGAAACTTGAAATGCATGTTTATAACCCAAAGATCTTGGTTCCTTTCAATATTCGCACATATCAGATCATAACTTCCTGAATTATGGCCCCTGATTGTACGAAAAATCACATTTTTAGCTTGTGGTTCCTCTAGAGGTCACTATTATTATCCGATTTAAAAAAAAAATGTTCAAATATTTCACCGTTACACCGCAATGTCAGTTGAGTTTGAATTTCGTGAAAATCGGACCAAAACTGCCGGACACATGTTTATACCCAAAGATCTTGGTTCCTGTCGATTTTCCTGTCGATTATGGCACTTGATTGTACAAAAAATCACTTTTTGTTAAGCTTGTTCTCTTTCCATCTCTTGCAAAATGTGGGCATATCTTGCCTGGCAGCTGCTGGTTTTGAATTGTGATGACATTCTGTCTACTTATTCCATATTATTTATAAATATATTTAGATGGGCATTTAAAACCACATGTAATATCATTCAAATATCTGTTCTTATTTTCATTAATTAAATTATGAATGTGCAGAATCAAATTGGATTAGCACAATATCTGTAATATAAGTAATGTGTCAAAGGTTACCATCTAGAATGCACAATATCGATCATCTTCATCAAGCTAATATAGAACTGTTAAATTAGACTTCAAGACATTTTCCAAAATAAACAGGAATGTGAAGGGTCTTTTATCAGATACTTCAGGTATAAAACCATTCAAATCTTGAGTTGGGCTGTAACTCTAATATGATAAATGTAGCCCGAATTTTACCGTTGCCAAGATGCATTACAATTTTAATGTAGTCTTTTGCCCTCTTCTTTAACTAATGTAAATATGTTTCTATATAAAATGTTATAACCTGTATTGGTACACAACACAGCAGTCATTTAGTGCAACACAACACTGCATTGGTTGTGAAATATAGAGAATGTTCCTTTGATAAATTCTTTACAAGATTTATTTTTCGCGATTGTGAATTCAAAGATTGTGAATTCAAAGTTTTAAAGATTGTGAATTCAAAGATTGTGAATTCAAAGTTTTAAAGATTGTGAATTCAAAGTTTTAAAGATTGTGAATTCAGAGTTTTTAGATTGTGAATACATCTTCTACGTTATTTTTGTAAAATTGTGATTATATATCTTCTGGATTTTATTATTTGTAAATCTTCTCTCATAGTTTTTTAAATCTTTTTTATTATTATAAATTGTTAATCTTCTCTCTAAGTTTTTTAATCTTTTAAGATTGTTGTTTACTACACAGGTTGTTTTTGTCCCCAGTCTTTCGAAGAAAGCAGGGGACTATTAAAATGGGTTCTTATTGAGCTAGAATGTTCAAACTTGGTGTAAGTGTTTATTAGGTTGATGCCTTGAAGGAGTTCGAAGACGAGCATTTTCTGCTTAGGGTAAGCAGAGATAAGCAATTTGTTTGGTTAATGCTTTGGGACACAATAACTTTAGTTCTCATTAAGTGAGTGATCAAACTTGGTGTATAGTTTCATTACATCAGTACCTTGACTAAATTTCAATAAGCAATTTGATTGATCGAGACTTTCGGACACAATAACTCTCCTAATTGAGCTAAAATGTTCAAACTTGGTGTAGGTGTTTATTAGGTTGATGCCTTGATTAAGTTCGAAGATGGGAATTTTCTGCTTAGGGTAAGCAGAGATAAACAATTTGATTGGTTGATACTTTGGGACATGATAACTTTAGTTCTAATTAAGTGAGAGTGATGAAACTTAGTGTATAGTTTCATCACATCAGTACCTTGACTAATGAACATGTTCTTCTGAGGGTAAGCAGAGCGATAAGCAATTTGATTGGTTGAGACTTCGAAACACAATAACTCTTCTTCTAATTGAGGTAGAATGTTCAAACTTAGTGTAGGCGTTCATTAGGTAAATGCCTTGATGGAGTTTGATGATGAACATTGTCTGCTTATGGTAAGAAGAGATAAGCAATTTAATTGGTTGATGCTTTTGGGCACGATGAGTTTGATTATAATTTATATCAATACCTTGACTAAATTTGATGAGAATTTTCAGCTTAGGCTAAGGAGCGATAAGCAATTTGATTGGTCAAGACTTTGGAACATAACAACTCTGCTTTTAATTGAGGTAGAATGTTTAAACTTGATGTTGATGTTCATAAGGTTAATGTGTCTTGATTAACATTTCCAGCTAAAGCTAAGCAGAGCCAAGAAATTTCTTTGACTTTGATTCTATCTGATAGAGAGTGATGAAACTTAGTGTATAGTTGATAATCAGTTTGATTGCTTGATACTTTTGAAAAAGATAAACATGCAATTAATTAAAATGTGTCATATATTTATTTCGGGTTTTTGGCGGGGACATCAGCCTCACTGTTGGCTTGTTCTCCAGATTTCCAAATTTGATCATTCTACAATTGTGAATACACAGTATGCACTATGCCATTATGCTGATCAAAAAGTGGATACCCGTAATTCGTTGTTCATTGATCAATAATTCAGCATTTAAGCTTGTACAATGATTTTTAAATTATGTTCTGGGTGATTCATAGTGATTTTAGTTTTTCTTAATTGGGAAACCATGTGTAAATGTCCCTTCACAACTATCACCCTGATTTCTTACAAGCCTAATTAAAAAACAGGGTCTTTAATGTGTGGTTTTTTTTTTAAAAGGGACCTCAAATACTCTTCTATTATACGGGAATTGACAAAAATTTCATCAAAGACATTTTTAATAATGTTTTAAAGTCTCTGATTGTCATTTATGGGATTTTTACAATCTAGTAAACATTTAATATATAAAAGGAATATCAGTCCAAAAATGGTTCAATTCCATTCAGTACTTGCAAAGAATTTAAAATTTGTCAACATTGGGCTTCCTCTGCAAAGATTATAAATGGAATATGGTCAGAACAAGCCAGTGCCGTCATTATGGTATGCTAAAATCTTTTGATGGGCCTCTTTTAAATCCCACCGAATCCAAGCCCGTAGATTATCTTAATCAAATTTTAAAATAGATATTGTCAAAAAACTGTAAATGGCGATCAGCGGCTTTTAGCATAGATGACACAAATGTTATTTTAGATATAAATATTGTTTATATTGATTGTTTTAAGGCATTGTATGTACAGTATATTATTAATGATGTAATAATTTGAAAGCTTATAATAATCAAAACCAAAGCTCTTATCAAGTTTTGCCAAAAGATTGTTGTAAGCTGAATACAAGTGAATAATTTGTAAATTTTTTCTTTGTTATAAATGTATATTTGTTAGATTAATGAAACTTTTAAATTGTCACATTTTCTATGCCTAAATAATATGGTGTGTAACACACACTATTGACGGAATATGGTAATGGATAGAGGAACTGGATTGTCTCCCAATAATAGTTCTTCTTGACTGCTGACAATACAGTGTTCTGTAACTACACATAAAGGTTTCTAAACTTTAATTTAAAATCTTTCAATAATTTGTTTCAAATGACAGAGAATATAAGGCTTCAAAGAAATAATCAGGGGCCCATTTCACGAAGCATAATGTGTGTGCCTTGTGAAATGGGGTCCAAAAGAAATGTTTTTATTTATGACGGTTGTGGATAAATATATCGTCAACATAAATTACGCAAATTGTTAACAGTAGTATATACGGTACTTTGCAATATACCATAGTACTATCATCAGCTTATTGGAGATAAAATGTTTATTTGTTAAGACACATTGAATCATTCATTTATCTGTCTAGATCAAGTTTTACTACCAGTACTTATCTGGCCACATCATAACATGCCCAGTCACTTTTACATTTGACTAATGCAATTTAAATCTGAATGAAATAATCTTTATAAAGATGAGGAACTGCCAGTTTGAATGATGTGTTTCTCTAATATTAGATAATCTAGGTCTGTACAGAGAGCAAAAAATGAGATCATACAAGTCATCTTCAAAATATCAAGTGTGATGTATTCACCTGTGACTATTATTGAGTTGTATTTATCTAATAGTTATATTCCAAAGTTATATTACACAACCAGTGAACTATAGCAGTTAATGGTTGATATGTAATAATGATTTACCACACCTGATTATTATGAAGATGACGGCATATACAGTACAACTACATTCTACATGCCTTACATTCAAAATTAATTGATAGGTTGCCCTTCCATTGTGAAAAGTAATGTGTGTAAAACAAATGGTATTTTAGAAGAAAACATATTTTTAAAAGCAAAACCAATCAAAATTTGTTTCAATCTTTTGATATTTGGCCTAATGGTATCTTAAATCATTATTTGAATTCAATCATTTGTAGAAGACGGGGTGTAATGCATAGGAGGGTAAATAGAATATGGTTGTACCGTGTAAATATGACATTCTCTCTCATCTTGTTTATAATCATTATATTTTGTATTTATTTCTCACAAATAAAAAATATAAATACAGTATCTACAAATTCTAAGGTCTTTATTTTTAACATAAAAATAACACTCAGACCAAATTGTAGGATGGTTCAGTATAAGACGTGAGTCCTTATATATAATAATAGAAGGGTAACAATACAATATGGTTGTGGCAGAAGGGGAAAATCTTCAAACATCACATTTGATATTAGGATCTGTCCAGTTCTGTTTTTATATTGTCTATTGTCGTCGTCCGGTGTCCACAATTGCTTGTGGACGCTCTAGAGGCAAAAGTTAATATCTGATTGACTTTAAATTCATACTCAGTGTTTAAGATCATGAGATGAAGAAGCCTATTGATTTTCAGCGATTTCTGATAATTACTGCCAGAGATATGGCCCTTGATCACTTCAAAAAATTTATACACAGTGTTTAAGGTCATGAGACGAAGATGCCTATTGATTTTAAGCGATTTCGGATAATTACTGCCAGTTATGGCCCTTGATCACTTCAAAAAATCGTGTGGAGGCTCAAGTTAATATCCGATTGACTTCAAATTTATACTAAAGTTTGAGGTCTTAAGACGGAGAATCCTATTGATAATTTCCGATAATTACTGCCAAAGTTATGTCCCTTGCTCACTTTGAAAAATCTTGTGACACTCTAGAGGCTTATGTTATCATCCGATTCACTTCAGATTGATACACAGAGTTTAAGGTCTTGAGACGAACAAGTATATTGTTTTCAATGAATTTTGATAACATGAACAAGTATATTGATTTTCAATGAATTTTGATAACTTGAACAGCTAAATCCCATGATATTAAATGTTTCGTATACTAAACATTAGCATGGGGCAGAACTTTATAAAAATCAAACAAATTTTAATGATTTTCTGATAATTACTTAATGAGTTGTTACTCTTAATCAGATTTTAGTTTTATTTAAATGTTTCATTACTGAAAAAAGTAAAAATATGCGACAACTCTGGATGACTGCCAAAGTGATTTAGCTGCTGTGGGCGTATGTTTCGTTGCCTGGCAACCTATCTTTAACAATATTGCTTACCTTAGGTAACCAGAAAATTAACTCTATATATTCAATATGGCAGTCATTAGTGGTTGGTAGATTTTAATGTCCAATCAAATTTGCATAACTGGGTATCTTTTAAATGCAAACCAAAAAGAGATCCTTCAAATTATGGATATACAATTACATACACAGAATATAATATATTTATTGGATACATATACCAAAGTACAATAACAAAATAAACAAAGACTTATAATAATAAAGTATATATTAATATATTTTATGTCTTAAAAATTATCTTACATATATATCCAAAAAAAATACATATTCATATATTATTAACCCAGTGTTGTCACCCATCTTCTTCAACCTAATTTGATGCATGGGTGTACCTTATTCATATTTGTTCAAATGATTTTGATCTATCCCGTAGGGTTAGGGTGGGGGTTTACACCATTTCATCTTCTAACCCTCTTGATGGATTTCAAACAAATTTGATAGGTGCTTTGGTAGCACTTATTGAGACTTGTTCAAAGGAAGTCAATCCTCCATAATTAAAGGTGCAAAGTGAGACATTTTTACACTGCTTCTCAAGAACCACTTGGTAGATTTCAACCAAATATGGCAAGTATGTTGCTTGATGCTTTTTAACATTTCTACAAATGAAGTTACTTGACCCCATTGAGTAAGGGCGGGGACTCATTAATGGGGTAAATGTAGACATTTTCGACTACTGCAAAACCCATGGATGGAATTAAACTACTATATATGCGGTACTTATTTAAATTTGTTCCAATGAAGTTAGGGATAGGGTGAGGGGCACCTAATTGGCAATTTACACATTTTTACACAATTTCAATAAAGTCGGTTGATGGATTTAAAAAAAATATGAAAGTTTGTTGATTGGGTGTATTTCCACCTAAATTGATGGGTATTTCCTTGGTTGGTTTTTATTCAGATCTACTAAAATGAAGTTTATCTGTCCAATATAGATAGACAGGAGAGCACCTTAAAAGGGAGTTTGGATTTCTCTTAAACCACTTGATTGACAGGTATATTGCTTGGGTTGTGCTTATATCCTAATACCATAGAACAAATTTAAGGGGACAAATGGAGACATTTTCTTATTCCAACTTGATCATTTTGTAAGAATGTAGTCTTTTAGGTACATTAGCAAATCTAATTAAAATCAAATTCATTTGGTACAAGAACGGGCAAGTGTAGACATTTTCCCACACACAAAAAAATTAATAATAAACCATTGTTTAAAATTTAAACGATTAGACCTCTTTGATTTGGATCAAATAAATTGAAATTATACATTTATTTAAGTTTGATCATCAAAATTTGATGTTTTGATTTGATTTGCAAAGTGGCTTTCTGTCTGCATCCAAAATTTTAGGTCAACCGATACACCGATGTTGAGATTAACTAATGTTTTGTTTTAAAAAAAAACCCTGAAAAAACCCAATAAAATTAGTTAACAATAACAAATTTAACTGTATAGGTCTTTCCCCCACACAATACCTTATTTTGACCTGAATCAAAGAGGTTTAGCTCATTTAAACATGTGGTTTTAAATTGTGCATGTTGAACAAGATTGTAAGGCTATTACTTCTCCTGTTAACAAAACCGGTTGAACAGTTAGTGTTTGACTATTATCATCCGGACCATTAACAACTAAAACATATTTCTCTGTTGAAGCATGGCCACAAAGTTGATAGTTATTTGATTCTGATGAAGAATAGATGTTATAATAGTCGACATGGTTATATTGTGAACAGGTCCACTCTATATTATACACCACAGTCTCTGATTCTTCACTTGTGTCGACCCTTGTTACCCGCAGATCTGTCAGTTCTACATTTGGCACTATATGGTCTGATGGTAATATCTACAAAAAATAAACAACTTAATATCAGAAAGGGAACCAATCTTATTGTTAGAGGCAATCAGCATTTTCTTTTCTCCCATTAAGATTTAGAACTGGTTAATCCTACTTGGGTGAAATTGTTCTTTTATGACTGGATTTGCTTGAAAAATGTTTAGATATTGAGTTACTATTGAAGCCTTATTTGAAGGACAATGAAAGCTACCTTTTTATACATTGAATGGTTACAGCTTTATCTGTAGGCTAATTCATTTGTTTAGTCCAGAAAACATGTCAATTTAGCATCAGTCTGAATATTGTATAGTGTTAGAAATAATTTGCTGAAAATTTGATAATATTAAAGGGAAATAATGATTTAAGTTCCCATCATATTATCTCCCCTTAGACCACAAATCTTGAATTTGTTTTTACTTACCTTTAACTGTCCAACATAAAAACGATTTATTGTTGATTGAGGAGTTGGTGATAAACATCTAATACTAATTCCTATTAATGTCCAGTCTTCAACCACATTGTTTGGTACTATATATATTCTGTAACAACAAAATTGTTTTAAATGTAGGCGTATAAAAATCAAATAGATATCTGAACTTACCATAATAAAATATCTGGGGGCCCCTCCGATGACCTGCATGACCAGTGATATCACATTATTTAGAAAGAATGAGCTTAACCTACCTCATAGGCAACATCTATCACTACTTTTAGCAGACCATAACCAGCTAAATTTTATGGAAGAAATAAATTAATGCCCAAAATATCAGTTAGAATGCATGATAGTAGAGTGTAGAAAAACTTGCCTTGATTTCCATCCATTTTGCTCCGAGATTAGATCAGGTTGTTTTGAAATATTGTTTTCTTCTGATGGGGGTGGACTGTAGTGAATCTGAGGTGTAAGAACTATTTGTTTTTGAGTCCTAGTTTGTTTGAGGTCCAACAATAAATGTATTCCTCCATCCTGTTCTTCCATTTCCTTGGTTACAAGAACTACTTTTATACCACTTGTAAGAGGAATTTCTGTATAGAAAAGACTGCAAGGTAAAGTAAAAACTTTAATACAAAACACATTGCTGAGTGAATGAAATTAACTCTAATGAGAAAATTAAAAATAACCTGGAACCTTTTTCATGAAAACTTTACCTCTTAGTTCAAGTCTTACTGCATCTTCATTGCATGTGGGTTAAAATTAGTGCTGGGTATTGCCAATGCAGTCACAATATGATATGTATTGTGATACAGGTACTACGATATGATTAGTATCACGATTCATAACCAGGTCAATATTTACCAAGAAAACAACACATTAAATAAATACCATTAATTGATGAATATTTTTAGCCCTGTTTATGTCGAAGAAATAAAACTGTTTTATGTCACGATATTGATGTGGATAAAAATAAGGACTAAAACCATTTAAGAGTGTTTGTGTAGCTATCACAATGTTTGACGTTGATAATTAAGGGTGACGAGATTCTTAGCGAAGCGACAAAAAATAATCATAAAAAAAAGAATCGCAATACAACACGTCTCGCAATTCAATACAAGAATCGTGAGAAGGTGAATCATGATACATCGATTCAACGATATATCATGCCAGCACTATTAAAATACAAAACATAATTAAGTTTTCGTGAATAAAGATGTTAAACTTAACTACACCAAGCCAGTGCCAGTTTGCCAGCAAGCCAATGTTATGAACCGCAATCTCCCTTTGGCTGATGAATATGTAAAGCCAGACTGTTATAATGGGACATAACATTGGTTGATAAGATAATGAAGGGGTTTCCCAAGTTATGGATTTTATCAGGTGTTTTTCTCTGACATTTACAGTGTTTACCGATTGAGTTATAAAATGGCAGAGGTGATTAGTACTAGATTCCAGTGTAAATTGTCCACTAGGCAAGCTGGGACTGAGCATGGTGCGGCTTGTAATAATAGAATACTAAACTAAACTTTGCGTTGTGTTGACATACAGTACTCACAGTAGTTTACATTAAACTGAAACAGGGGATGATGTGTTATTTTGAGTCATGGTAGATATGATTAAATGTTTATTTATTACCAATACCATAAGCAATCAACTCCCTATTGGCTTACTCTCGGGACACAAATCTTTCAATGAGAATGAGGGAGAAATATCAACCTCGCAGAACAAATTAAGCCTAACAAACAAAAGAGACGGTTTTCTTTGAAAGTAAAAAGCAATTCAAGAGATAAATGTTACCTGAATGTAAATGGTATATATGTTGGGTCTCCTTCTACACATAAAGATGTACCACCTTGATAAACTGTATCCATATCTATGTATACACCTATATTATTATCTGAACTAGGTATGATAAATGGAAAATGTGGTTGTATTTGCTGCATATGTAAATTACTCCATGGATTTTCATCTTTAACCTGTTAAAACGATAACAAGAATGATGTAACACAATCTCATTAATATTTCTGTACCTTTTATTCCATTTTATTTTGTGGCCATTACTCAAATTAATCTTGGCCTAAAGGCAAATATTGTGATTGGCCAACTTTAGATGAACCTACTAATCAAAGTCTGTGATCCACAAAATTATCCAAAAGAAATTTTCAAAGGCTTTGATTATCAAGACGTTTGATTGGCTGTCTAGTCAGGGTCAAGGATATTAATATTCTATTGTTACAGACTTGATATGTTTAACGAATGACCAACCGAATATATAGAACAAAAGTGAATGACCAACCGAATATATAGAACAAAAGTAATGTCTACCTTCAATTAGATTGGGTGGAATCAAAATGAATACACAGACATAAAAGCAACATTTTATTTTATGATAAACAAATTTTAATATGGAATTGCTTGTTTTTTCCATCAATAATTCCTTTTATGGAAACTTAATAATGTTTTCTTTTAATGATGCATATATTAACAGCATTCAAATGGTGAGAAAATGAGTTCATAACCTACCAAACCTTGTAGATAATACTTATGACCATATCCCTGACAAAATGATGTAACAAGAGGTAGAGTTGTTCTTTTATTATATGGACACAAATCATACAAATCTCCCCAAAACCTTAAATATAGCAAATGATAAAAATAATTCTTAACGTTGCTAATTGGGACTGTAATTAAAGTCCCAATGCAAGATAGCTAAAAGGCTTATAATTAAATTTAACAAAAATAAAGGCTAACACATGTTAGATGTTAACTTGATCTTCATGCTCAGAATAGAAATTAGCTTTTCTTCCGTAGCAGACAGTTGCCCTAAGACAGAGAAAGATGAAGTCCTGAAATCAATTAAAAGTGAAGTGAAAAGAAATGAAATGGGGTTTAACGTCCTACTGTTCTGCTCTGAATTGGCTAATGAAGACGGTCAATGGAAAGTAATAAGAACTATGTAAGCAATAGGAACTATATAAGTAATAGGAACTATTTAAGTAATAAAAACTTTATAACTAATAGGAAATATCTATAACTTATGTAGATAATGATTTGAATTATGATACACACTGCTGCAGTAAGGACTTGTATTTATAGTTTGGTGCCCAGTGTCCAAATCAAAAATCATACCTCAAAAGAAATTAATTACCACGTGCATAAAAGTAAAACTTATTAGATTACAAACTTGTAAGGATTCATAAAATAGAATACAAATATCATACCATTGATATCAAGCCAAATACACACCTTTTTAGATGACTGATTTCTTTTTTTTATTCATTGGAAAACATTGAGTTTTCGGTTGCAATGGTTCAATTATATTGGAATATGTGATGCGATAATATATAGTTCACATGTTCATAAACATTACATCGCATATTGATATTATTTAATTTATGATAAACATTTCCATTCAATCTCACCTTTAAAATAACATGAAATTTAAAATTATTTCCATATTGAGATATGTGAAATATTGTGATGTCGCCAGACTCAAGTATGGTTTACATTTGGAAGGGAGCAGTTTAAGAATGATCTTAATCATTTTTATTCATGACGAGACATAGACTCACTCTGCTCACACAAAAACACATTATTAATAATACTAACAATAACTTTACCATATTCACCAAATTATTTTCGGTACAATATAATCATTTCTTGTAATAAAATAATTTAAGCAATAACTACCAACCCAAAATAAAATAATTATTTGAAAATACCAGTAAACTCATGTTTAAACTTTAAATAAACTATATATATATATATATTTGTTGTTTATTTCGTGCACCGTCTGTGCAGTTTATCTTGTTCGTAGTTTTCTCTTATCGCTTTTTTTGTTTGCCCATAGCGCAATCCTCCTGCACTTATACTAATATAAAAGAGGCTTATAATTCAGGTGTCCTTTGTAATCATATACACTTCTCTGTTGCTTAAAAGTATTCATTTCTATTCTAGGGATTGTTATTTTCGGGAATATTTGAAACTCTAACATACATACTGGTATATAAAGTTTGTTTTCATGTAGAAAAGTGATACCCGAATTTGGTAATCCAGGTTTAGGGAAGAGCTTATTTATAGAAAAAAACATGTTAAAAAACACACCCTAATAAATGAATAGAAGTACATCCGGCACAAAATAGTTACCCGTTACAACCTATAAAAGGGGCTATGAATCATGCAACAAAATCAAAATTAAAGCCACTCCTAATTTATACATTTTATGTCTTTTATCCATGGTCTTAATATTTTTAATAAATGTATAGCAAGAAATTGCATCAAATTTCTGAATTCCAATTTCCAGTAAATGATATCAACTGTCTATATGACTGGCGATCAACCATAAACTCAACTTTGATGTACTGTGTCAAATTTTTCATGTCCTTTTTTATTGCTAAAACACACAATTACCTATTTTCATTAATTGTAAAATTTTCTTTTCCATGTGTTTCATAAACCCAACCTTGTGCAAAGATGGCGGTTGATAATTCATGTTGCCTCACCATATCTAATGCCTGAAATGTAAATAGAATGGAAAAAAAACATTCTTCATCCTGAAACTAATTTGTTAAGAGATGGAATTGAATTTCGTAAGAACATATGGATATTTGAATTACTTTCTTTCAATGTATACATCAATAAACACAAAGCAACCATATATACTCTTCAAAAAAAGTAGGGGATATTCAGAAACAATACAAAACTGCAGAAATGCACTGCTGTTTTTATTAGAGGTAACCAGTCTATGTTAATAACAGGCCAATTGCCTACACATGAACATAAACAATTCATATGAATGGCTTATCTGAAGGCCTCATTTCACTCCCAAAGAGATACATCGTCAAAAGTGAAAATTCGTCGTGGCATACTCCTAATCAGCCGTCCAATCACGATTTGGGGCCACGGCCAATTCTTGCAGTGTTGTCGGTTGATGTTGACGTCGGCGAACACGTCTCCCGATCAAATTAAACGTAACACACTAAAGCAAAGATACACTAAACAGTAAATCTTATGCAAGAACCGATAGGAAAGCAAACATGGATAGGATAAACCAGCAAGGGGCAGTTTTCATCAACCCTTCCTTGAAGTGTCAAATTTGGCAATGAACCCCTCCCACATGTATAGCGGTATTGCGTGTCCACAGCCCTACTTTTAAGTTGTCAATCATTTTTCTTGTTGCTTATTACACTCATGGATTTAGCTGTTCAAGTTATCAAAATTCATTAAAAATCAGTATACTTGTTCATCACTGTGTATAAATTTAAAGTCAATCGGATATTAACTTTAGCCTCTAGAGCGTCCACAAGATTTTTCAAAGTGATCAAGGGTCATAACTCTGGCAGTAATTATCGGAAATCGCAGAAAATCAATAGGCTTCTTTGTCTCATGACTTTAAACACTGTGTATGAATTTAAAGTCAATCAGATATGAACTTTAGCCTTTACAGCGTCCACAAGATTTCTCAAAGTGATCAATGGTCATAACTCTGGCAGCGATTATCCGAAACCGCTGAAAATCAATAGGCCTCTTCGTCTCATGACCTTAAACACTGTGTATAAATTTAAAGTCAATCGGATATTAACTTGGGCCTCTTAGAACGTCCACAAGATTTTTTTGAAGTGATAAAGGGCCATAACTCTGGGAGGATTTATTGGAAATTGCTGAAAATCAATAGGCTTTTTCATCTCATGACCTTAAACACTGTGAATAAATTTAAAGTCAATCGGATATTAAATTTAGTCTCTAGAGCGTCCACAAGCAATTGTGGACACCGGACGGACGGGGGTGACGACAATATACGACCACATTTCAACGTGGGCGTATAAAAACCCAATGAAACAGAAATAAATCTATTTATGTGCATTACCACTGAGCAGAAAATAGTAAATGATTTGTGGCTTTATAGAATTATCTAATCAATCCCACCTATTATGAATGACCATCAAAATTAGTAATAGTTATATCCCAGTCAATAATATTTTTAATTTTGAATACGATTCACCACATCTTGATGTCAGATTGGGCATATTTCCAGTCAGATGTTTGCCAACTTGCGTAGGATTTGTCCGGCTTATACAGGCAAAACAGCATCCATGCTTATACCTCTCTAGTGTTATATCCTCCATCACCGGGTGTACCTCGACCAAACACATCTATTCCCACATAAACATCAAATGGTCTGTCTGCGGCTAGAGATCTCTCTTTCGATTTACTCAGTTTGTTTTCTGTCCAGTTATAATTTAAATATATACCATCACAAGCATCAAAAAATAAACTACCAAGAAAAAAATTTGTAATTAATTCTCTATTTACTAAATCAATTAACATGCAAAATCACTTTCAAGGAAAGCATTAGAGTTGTGTTTGGGTATCGTCACCAGTTGGCAAAAAAATAATTTTCAATTACATAATTACAATAAAGATGTGGTCATGATATTTACAGGAAATTGTCAGATTTAAAAATAAATGTATTCTTGTTAAATGACTACATAGAAATGGAATTCTAAATTATTGGATTTTAGATGTTTAAAATTGTTAACTTGGAAGGAAATTTAATTTAGCTACTACACCAGGTAATCAATTTTTTTTAATTAAAGCCCCAACATGCCAGAAAAACATTTAAATCTAGAGACTTAGACCATACACAATCGGGAGTATTTTTTATTAAAAAACATTTTGGTCCTTCAAATATTCAAATTCATAAATTCTAAGTTTTCATTGGCTGCATAATTTCAGCCATCATTGTTTCACTTAGAGTAATACAATAATAATAATTGTGCTATCTTTTCTGTACAAGCCAGTCCGGTCTACATAACATTTTATACTCAGTCTTAACATTAAAATAGTGTATATTTTTTACTTGTGAAATATATTATGAACAGTCCGGTTTGTTGTGATTCAAAAATTCAAGCTAACAACTATATATCTTAAACTGAGTTCTCAGATAATAAAAGATTGGGGAATGGACTGTATGTGTACATCATAATATGCAAAATATGACGTGATCAATAATACTTTATATAAAGCCATTTTTTTTTATCTAAATGACATGCATTCATCATGATTTGCATAAAAAAAATATCTTTTAAAAATGTGTCAATCTCTGGGATTTCCTAAGAAGTATGTAAGTCTATCTGGATATAGATCATACCTGTTCTTTTCATTAAGTTCATTCTGCCAGTCAAGATGTCCGGTATCAACTACGCTATCATACCAGATGACTAAAGATGAAGGAATAGCTTCGTGCATTTTTCTCGTAAGACAAGTAAGAAATCCTTTTAAATCAATTACTTTTGATGGCTGAAATTGGAAGTGTGATATCAAATATACACATAAATTTTTTACTTTAGTACAATTTTATTAAAACATTTATATCCGTGTTAGTACAATTTTTTGAAAATTTTGGATGGACAGCTAAAGCTTACTCTTCTAAATATCAGGGGATCTTTAACATGTTGTCTTGATTAGTGAACCAGCACAATACTTACTGAGCTACTGTGGCTCCTAGACATTTCATATCATCATTTCTACGACTGGGCACAAATACATAACACACTTATTGAAATATCTGATGTTTACACCATTTTTATGTTATCTATGACATAATTACTCATTTGCAATTAGTTGATTTATTTGAGGGTAGTTCTTTTTAAAGACTAGGATGATCTTATTGTGGAACTATCATACATACAGAAATGCATATTGAAATTAATGTGACTAGTGGCAGGTTGCATACATCATATTGATTTCTTGCTTGAATTAATTTATTGTTAAATAGTGTAGTGTGTTGGACTTTGTTGTTGGATGTCATGGATTGGCTGAGAAATATGTTACTTGGAACACTGATGATTAGTCAAAGTGATCATTCGGGTTTGACCTACATGACTTTAAAGTCTTAAACAGATTCAAATATTTAGACTGTATTCAATTTCAATTTAGAAAAACATATTCTAGCCCCTCAAAAAAATAGCAAGGATATCAATGTTAATTTATATTTTCAGAAGCACTTTTATTTATAAAGCTTGCCTCAATAACATTTTCTACGTTGACAAGCCAGCCATCTATTCAGATATTTTAGTCCCTCAAAAAAAGCAAGGATATTGATGTTAATTTGTATTGTCAGGAACAGTTTTAATTATAAAACTTGCCTCAATAACATTTTCTATGTTGACAAGCCAGCCATCAAATCTGTAATATTCTGCTATATTTACTAGCTTAGAAGCAAATCTTTCATATAATTCCACAGTTTCCAGGAAAACATTACAACATTCAAAACCATATTTCCATTCTGTTATAAAAGTTCCTAGTTGACCAAAATTAATTTAAGAAATCAATATTAATTGTGTAGTTCTTAGAACTTCATGATTTCGGAAATTTTCAAGCCTTGCTTGTATCTATCTGTACACTTAAAAGCAATGTGCACTTTCGGTTTACTTTCCAATTCTTAGAATTTTTTGTAAGCCGACTTTTCTTTTGTTGCACAGATTTCTATAACACTTCTATATTACGTTTTTTTTTATAAATTGCAAAGAGTTGTCAAGCAACCTAGTATGTTACCTCTATTTGGCCTATTTCTAATTTTTTTAATTTAAAATCTTCAAGGTACAATTAATCTGTATTTCATTTTTTTGAAGAACAGACATCCACTCAATCCCAACCTTTGTGTCATGGTTAGAGAAGTAACAAAATTCCTATAAGAGGGGATTGATTAATTTTATTTTCAAAAGAAGATGTCAAGTACACATTTAATAATAGCGTTAGTCAAAAGGTTAAAATCAGAGACTGTGTAGCAATTTTGAAAATTTAAAACAGACACATCTTATGAGGAAACCACAGATCAATCAATCTTTAAATGAACATATATATACATTAAACTTAAACTTTAAGGAGTTCAACCTCTAACTGAATATTTTCAATAAAATTTGAAATTAAAAACATGAATTAAAATTCAATATTGGCCAATTTCAACCAATATTGATGTTATCAAAATTAGTACACAAAACTTGTATTCTATGAGAATTTTTGAGAGGCATTTAGTAACTGGATAGAGCAATAAACTATAACACATACTAATGGAAAAACAGCTACTTATTTATTTGGGCGACGTCGCCCAAATAAATAAGTAGCTGTTTGTCCATAAGTATGTGTTATAGTTTATTGTATTCTATGGTTTCGGGCACCATTTGTAATGAACAAAGAAAAACATATCCTACAAAACAATGCAAAAGCAATTATTAATGGCTAATTCACAAATAACAAAATAATTATAAAAAAACAACACTGTTCACGTATTTCACCAAAAATAATTGATTAGAAATTACAACACAAAATTTAAAAACTGAATATAAATCACTTATAACCATTCATATTACATTAATAATTGCCTTTACACCCATTTTCGTCTTCTATTTTAAGGTTTAAAAAAAAAAGTCATATGCCCTTAAATAGATACCTACCCAAAACTTTAACGCCATGTCTATGTCCAGCATTTGTCCAACATGGTGGAGGTATTGTAACTAGATGATGACTAAAGTATACAAATATATCTAAATATTCCCAATGATAGAATCGATATGCATCACTATTGTCACTACCTTGTACAAACCTGAAAAATATATCATATACCTACAGCTTAAGTTCCATTAATCTACTAATCGCAAAATTGATGTCAAATGTTAGTGGCAGGATGAATGGTGTGTAGGGAGTTGCAAAGGGGGGCAGGGAGTGGGCAATAACATTTTTACATTACCAAATTTAAATTGCTATTGAAAGGGGGATAATGGAGGTGCATCTTTATGATAAGGTGAAACCATAGTCGCAGGTATGACAGCCAATTAAAGATCCCCTAACAGTTGGAAATCAAAATAAGAGTTGGTATATGCCCGTCTTCATTAGCCTGGTTAGAGCAGAAGAGTTAGACACCAAACCTTATTTTATTTCATTTATACTGTGACCTCTCACAATGACTACAAATGATTGCAAAGCTGTAGGTTAGCCTATAGCAAACATGCCTAGCAATTTCAATTTGCAATACATGTATCTCTGCTAATGCTGAAATGAACTATACATGTACATTTCTAAAAAGCTTAATTAATGACAGTTTGAATAATGTATAACAAAAACTAGAACATGTATCGACTAATCGTCCATAATTTCTATCTGATGTACATTTTTGCTATTGTTTTATGAACATATAACTATACTCAGCCAAATTAAAAACTTGACACTGATGAATTTCAACAAATTTTTTTTTCTGGTAAGTCAAATAAATTTTAAAGTGTTTCTAATGATAGTAAGTAGTAAGAAGCCTTTAATTTCATAAAATTGTAAAGTCACGTGGATCACATGACTTTTTAACATATAAAGATGAAAAACCTGAAAAACACGTGCAAACACAAACTCGTGAGGTCAATCGATGCAAGTTTGCTTAAACTGAACACGCACACGTAACTTGAACTGGAAAAACAAATTAAAATTGTTATTTTCATCTTTGTTAGAAAATGCCGCGCCTTTCAAATGTAGAACGTCTACGTGCTATAGGTAGGCTCTATGCTGGTCAGTCTGTGGTCACTGTTGCAAGAGCCTTTAATTGTTCACGCCAGACAATAATTAATCTTAGAATGAGAGTGCTTCAAACTGGAACTATTGCCAACCGCCCAAGGGCGGGAGTGCCACGTGTGACGTCACTTCAGGAAGATCAAGCAATACGATTACGTCATCTTAGAAACAGATTGTCACTGCAACCTCCACAAACTGTTCGAAATCGCTTGCAGGCTGCTGGTCTTCGAGCTCGGAGGCCCTATAATGGACCAATATTGACACCCCTTCATCGCCGTAATCGACTTGTGTAGGCCACAAGACACATAATATTTACTCAAAGACAGTGGAATTTGGTTGTCTTTAGTGACGAATCTCGATTCACTTTGAGATTTGCCGATGGCAGGGTCCGAGTGTACCGCAGACGAGGTGAACGTTACGCTCAAGTATGCGTCAGAGAAGTTGACCAATTTGGTGGCGGCAGCGTCATGGTTTGGGGTTCTTTTTGTGCACATGGACGTTCTCCTCTTGTTGTTGTCCAAGGGAACTTAAATGCTGTCCAGTACAGGAATCAGATTTTGCAACCTGTTCTTCTTCCGTTTATGCAGAGACAATGCTCAACCCCATACAGCAATTGCTACCCAGAATTTTTTAAGAAATGCCAGTGTCCAAGTCCTGGATTGGCCGTCACTTAGCCCCGACCTTAATCCTATTGAACACATCTGGGACGAACTGGGTCAACGTGTTCGTCAGCAAGTGAATCCACCACTGACGTTGCAGGACCTTCAACATCTGGGACGAACTGGGTCGACGTGTTGGACAGCAAGTGTTTACTAATGTTCTGAGATCCATGAGAAGACGTTGTGTGGCAGTACGAGACGCTAGAGGAGGCCACAACCGTTACTAAACACTTTATTCCGATTGTTCTCCAAGTCTGTGAATTTCATTTTGGGGGGTACTGTGACATCACGAACGTTATCAATGTCAAGGACTTTTGGCGAGACGTATTCTTGCTTTCTGTTGATGTCAAGGTCGTCTGTGCACAACATAACACTAAAATAGTTGCCTTAAACCAAATATTAAAAATCTAGTCCCAAAAATCCTGAGTGTCAAGTTTTTAATTTGGCTGAGTATATAAGATTAGTGTTATCATCAATTTGTTGTGATTGTAAGTGTTGTTTTCGTTTTGCATGGGCCTATAGAGGTATAGCCGTTTGTTCCAGAAAATTCTCATGACACATGTACAGGTCGTGGGTGCTCAAATAGAGAATGACTACTGGTACAATGGGCCGCTTATCATCATTGATAAGATTTCCACATAACAATTAACTTTTATTGTTCTAATACCCAACACTCAGTATAATTCTCTGTTGACAACTATGCATACAACTCTATAACACCAATCATGAGATTATGTAGCTTCAATACTGTGCATTATTCTGTACAGGCCTAGAATTTTGTAGTTATATCACTGAATAGTGATACTAATTTTAATTTCCTTGTCAATGTTTATCTGAAGAATGCATAATTTATTTCTTAACTCTATATTTTTAAATCTTCATACATATAGACAATATGGTTGACATTAAGATTATCAGCCTGTCTCTCATTACTTTTTGATGAACAGAAAAGAATTACCGGTAAGATAACTGAGAGCTAGTCAAGGGTTAAGACCTTTATATTAACCCGTGGAGGCTTTGATATAATTTGTATATAATGTGTAACTGTATATAAAGTAATATAAAAACAGATTTGAATTTGGACTTTTGATAAACAGCGACCACCTTCTCCAGAACACTACCCAACAAAAATGAGGTAGACCCATTCATTCACAGCTCATTTATATGTATGAAATATTACATTTGTATCACCTGGGTCTTATAGAATAACCACAAAACACTTGGTGATACATGTAGTTACTTGGTGGAGGTTATCGTAGTCATGCTTGAAAACTGGGTTTTGAAAAATAAGCTATTTTGCCGGAGTGCAAAATGATCGATGGATCAGATCTAGTTTCGGTCATTTTCCATAGCCCTCAAGTCATGACAAGCATATACGGCTGACATGGAACCCATGCTCTATCCTATCCTATATATAAGCTTACCTGTCATCTAAGTAACCACCATTCATATCATGACAAACCAATGTTTTAGGTAGACCTCTTTTATCCGCTATTGATGCTATAGGAAACTTAGATATAGACAATTTATCATTACCCCCTTCCCATGCAAATACATCTTCATATTCATTGATTGGTTTAGTAACAGGTACATTTCTTTCTTCATCCATTCATCTGAAAGTAGAAAGATTGTAAAATTAACTCCCTCTATTGGATCTGCTTAAAAATTAAAATGGTCAATTTCACTGGATTTTCTATTTGCGTTGCTTTGTAGGATGGCAATCTGTCTTAGGATTTGAAGGACTTTCATGAAAAGCAGTCTGTATTCAGCCTCGTGCCTCTGCATTTTAACTTACTATGCATACTGAGCAGAGATAGTTAGCTACAATAACTTGTAAAACATATGAAAATCAATGTCTATGTTGTCACATCTGTATACCATAGGCTTATATGTCAGAATTTTGGGTCAAATGAAATCTAACCCTTATTCACTAGATATGTAATAGAGGTAATGTGGTGGACATGTCCTGGTATCTAGCCCAATTTTATATTATACAGCCTTTGAAGCTAGTTTGCAGCTCACTGCATGATAAATTCCGACTTGTAGGCTAATTAAATGCAGAAAAACTTCTTTTTTAATTGAGATATACTAGCTGTATATATTTTACTGTTATCAATATTAACAGTTACATATCAGGGTTGTTCAAATTATAAGTCTAACAGTATGCAAAATTATGCACTGAACTATATTTAGATGATGAAGCATAAGTGTTTGTAGCAAATACAGTATATTAATCACTAGTTTTAATATGTGTTTTGTGTTATTGTTTTCAATTGAAAAACACCTGGTGTAAAAACCGGGACATTTAGTTTAGGCATGTGAGAGGCACTGGAATGGGACAGCAGAAAAGACCCCCAAAACTGGGACGTATGGTAACCCTACATACCAGTACAGCATGCTATGAGGGAATTTTGCCCGGACAGCTGCACTACTGCTTGCTCTTATTTTGAATTCCAACTGTCATGGGTTCTTTGACGTGCATGCCAATGTTTTCACGGGACCCAGGTTTTTCGTCCCATCAGAACTATTATACGTTGTTCCTAGCCAGGTAGTCAGCCCTGCAGCACTGTGACATTGGGGACCACACTCAAAAATTTTGATGAACTTTCTCGGGCAACTCTGGAATCGAACATGTGACCTCCACAATAGTGACTCAGTGAGCTAACGTCTTACTTACTGATGTGTTTTGCTGAAACGTGTTTTAATGCTCAATTTCAGACTCCTACACTCAAACAGAACGGTTTTAAAGGATGAACTCTATGTAGGTGTAGTAGTAGGATATATTTGGTTATCACCCAATAACACATTCTACAGTAAATATCGCTTGTGTGATAAATTTCATAATCTACTGGATATCTTCTTAGGAGATATCGCTTTACATGAATTTGATTGGTCAAATAACCAGCAGCTGACAGGCAGTATACAGCCACATTTTGCAAGAGATGGATAGAGAACAAACTAAAAACAAAAACGATTTTTTGTACAATCAGGAGCCATAATCCAGAAAGTTATGGTCTGAAATGCGCAAATATCAAACGGGACTGAGGTTTTTGGAATATAAAGATATGTTTTAAGTTTCATCAAAATTGGATAAAAATTGTGACCTCTAGAGGGTCCATAACCTTTGTATTACATGCTTATACACAATTTGTGTACAAAGAGCGTCCATTTTGTCGGGCAGTTTCATTTCGATTTTTCCTGAAATTCGAATTCAACCTTCATTATGGTTGAATGGTGATATATCTAAACAGTTTTTAAAATCGGAAATAAAATTGTGACCTCTAGAGAATCCACAAGCTTAAAATGCAATTTTTCGACCAATTAGGAGCCATAATCCAGGAAGATTCGTTCAGATATGTGTGATTATCAAAAGGAACCAAGATCTTTATGATAGAAACATAAATTTATTTAAAGTTTCATCCAAATCAGATAAAAACTGTGGCCTCTAGAAGGTTCCACAACCTTGATATAGCATTTTTTTACACTATTTGCGTAAAAGGGGCGTCAATTATGTCCATCAGTTTTTGTCCGATTTTCACGAAATACGAACTCAACCATCATTAGTGTATAACTGTGATATATTCACACATTTTTTTTTAAATCGGATAAAAATTGTGACCTCTACAGGGACCACAAACTACAAGCATGATTTTTTGTACAATCAGGGGCCATAATTCAGGAAGTAATGATCCGATGTGCGTGAATATCGAAAGGAACCAAGATCTTTGGGTTATAAACATGTATTTCATGTTTCATCAAAATCGGATTAAAAAAATTGTGACCTCTAGAGGGTCCACAACCTTGATATACCATATTTTTTACACTATTAGCGTACGAGGGGCTGCCATTTTGTCTGGCAGTTTTGGTCCGATTTTCACGAAATTCTATCTCAACCATCCTTATGGTGTAACGGTGATATATCCAAAGGTTTTTTTAAATCGGATAATAATTGTGCCCTCTAGAGGGACCACAAGCTAAAAACATGATTTTTCGTACAATCAGGGGCCATAATTCAGGAAGTTACGATCCGATATGCGCAAATATCGTAAGGAAAAACGATCTTTGGGTTATAAACAGGCATTTCAAGTTTCATCAAAATCAGCTGAAAATTGTGACCTCTAGAGTGTCCACAAGCTAAAAACGTGATTTTTCGTACAATCAGGGGCCACAATCCATGAAGTTATGATCCAATACAAGCCAATATCGAAAGGAACTGAGATCTTCGGGGGATAGACTTATATTTCAAGTTTCGTCAAAATCGGATAAAAATTGTGACCTGTAGAGTGTCCACAAACAAATTGTGAACAGATGTCCGGACAGACGGACGGACAAACAGGGGCAACAGCATATAATATGTCCACATGAAAATGTGAGCGTATAAAAAGGAACTACTTTTTGTTATTTTCTAAGAACAATTCATTTTTTATAAAATGTAACTTCTTTTTTATTAAAAAGGAACTATTTTTATTTAATTGACCTGGGTCAATATAAAGGACTTTTCATCCTGTGTTTGGTATTAGTTTAGTCATTCAGTTAACTCAGTTGTGTGTGTGAAATAGCTTTATTTAACGTCCGCTTCCACCGAGGTGATATCGCAGACAATTAAATAGTCTTTTTTAACTAGACACTTCATATAGCATGACTTTCCATGCCCTCTTCAGTTTCTACCTTTTTTGGAGTGACTAGAAATCGGTAACATAGATACTTATCCCTATATAACATCCTGTTTCACTTTGAGGCACATTTTCCTACATCTCCATCTTGGATGCATCATTTTCTGTCACAGTACTGAATTCACTAATTCAGGTAGGTTTATATAAATCTGTTTAACTTGACTTGACAATATTAAATATTATAAGACAATTACTTTTTAATTTAAATACTGTTTTATTCAGATATATGTTACAAATAACATAATAAATTCAATCTAAATAAGTTATGTTTTAAAATGTACCGGTATTTCTAATTTTGTGTTTGTTTTATCTTTTAGTGTTTTGTAATTCTTTTGTACATTGTAAATGATTTTCACGATATATTATTTCCTCTATTTCTTCGATTAATTAGAGTACCCTTTTCATGTATATGTTTCTAGTTTGTTACTCATTTTATAATTATATGTTAAATGTATAATATTTCTAAATGTTTCATTATTACCTGTAATATATAGGCCCTACAGATCTATTTAGTTACCCTACGGTACTAATTATTAGAAGCTATATCACTTAGTATTTGTGTACCTTTGCTGCTTCCTTTTGTGTATAGGGCATATATATATATTTGCTAATTTAGTTATTTTATTATTCCAGTGCTCTTCTACTTGTTCTTCTTTTTGTAAATAATTGCCTGTTTTGTGTAATTTTGTTCCTGTGTGGGTGTTCGGTGTATTGTAAACTATCTATGTCATTTCGGGACTAACACATGGTTCAATTTTATTCCAATAATTCGCTTACACAAGTGCGTAGGAGTCTTTAGCCAGTAGGAGGATCCTGAGAAAACCAACGAGGTTGGACAGGCGACTCTACTACTTGCCACTTACAACCGGGAAATCGAAACCACGCCAGTTGACTCAATCAATGACAGACCTTATGATACAACGCTCACGTGTTAACCACCCTAACCAGCTCTCGCGATATTTAGTTAGTATTGTTAAATTCAATCTGATGATGTGCAATGAAATATGATGTTATTTACTATGTGACAGAATGTGTAATAAGTCTTTATAATAAAATATTTACCAAAATTCAATGGATCGCAAAGCTAAACTAAAAGTAGAGCTAAATTTAATTACTTCCTGTTTGAGGAATTACCGAAACAAGCCGAAATTACCCGAAATCATAACACTTACCGAAACGAGAGTAATTCGACCAGTTAACACTATAAATATATACTATATAAAATAATATTTTGTTTCAATTTGAATAACCATTGGTTGCAAATGACAAACCCTGGATGAATGGCGCAATAAGACGTATGAAAAAGAAAAAAAATAGATTACACAAAAAAGCGGTAAATAGGAATTCAGACTCTGATTGGCAAAATTTCAGGAAAATTAGAAATGACTACATAGACTTAATTAGAAAAAGCAAAAATGATTACTTTGACAAAATAGACAAACAAATTAGTGACACAGAAAACTTTGGAACAAAAACCTGGTGGAAACTTATTAATTCATATACTAAAACAAACGCTGCTTCTACAAACGAACCTCCGCCCTTAACAGTTAACGGTAACACTGTGTTTACTCAATCCGAAAAAGCAAAAGCTTTAAACTCATTCTTTATCAAACAATCACAACTAGATAGCACTAATAAATCTCTACCACTGCTTGTTATGAACCCTAACAGCATCGATAAGATTGTACCAAATCCAGAGGAAGTTAAAGACATAATAGACAGCCTAGATATTACAAAAGCCTCAGGACCCGACGAAATAAACGCGAGAATTCTAAAATACATCTCAAAAGAAATCAGTCATCCACTTTGCCAACTTTTTAAATTATCATTAGATCTACACATTGTACCAAACATTTGGAAATTTGCAAACGTGGTCGCTATATTCAAAAAAGGCTCTCCAAACGATTGTAGTAATTATAGACCAATCTCCCTCTTAAGTATAATAATCAAAATTTTTGAAAAAATCATCCACAAACATGTCTTTAACTTCCTTAGAGATAACTCAATACTAACACCTGTCCAGAGTGGCTTTCTTCCTGGTGATTCTACCATATTTCAACTAATCGACCTAACACACTTCTTCTGTCGAGCCATTGACCAACATCAATATACTAGAATAGTCTTCTGTGACATCAGCAAGGCCTTTGACAGGGTTTGGCATGCCGGACTCTGTCACAAGCTGGATGCTGCGGGGGTTCGAGGAGATCTACTGCTCTGGTTCGTAGATTATTTAAAAAATAGACAACAATGTGTAACCATCAGTGGCACCTCCTCGGACTCCAGAAGCATCCCTGCTGGTGTTCCACGGGGATCTGTACTAGGCCCTCTTTTATTCTTAATATACATAAATGATATTGTGAACAATATAAATTCAAACATTAGATTATTTGCTGACGATACCTCTTTATACTTAAAAATTGAAGACCCAGAGGCAAGTGCTGCTACCATTAAAGATGACTTAAATCGAATCAGAAATTGGGCTGAGACATGGCTGGTAACTTTTAACCCCCTAAAAACAGAGACACTGACTATTACTACTAAACCCCACATAGTTAACCCACCATTATTTCTGAACCAGGTACAAATCAAAGAAGTAAGTGAACATAAACATCTAGGTCTAATCTTTCAAACCAACTGTAAATGGAATAATCATATAGATAGCATTGTAAGCAAAGTATCCAAACTAATAAATTGCCTTCGTTCTCTAGAAAATCTTTAAACATAATATACTCTTCTTTTATCCTTCCACACTTTGATTATGCCGACATGCTAACAAACTAGAAATCCTACAATTAGATGCACTGCGCACCATCTGTGGGGCGGTAAGAGGTACTAGCCATGCCTTACTCTATAAAGAGACTGGGTTTGTTCCACTCTCGGAAAGACGTCGACGTCATAAATTAAAATCAATGTACATAATTACTAACAACCTCGTTCCATCATATCTCTCTGACCTATTAGAACTGTCCTCTACCCCTATCAATTATACCCTTAGAAACAAAGATAAACTAAAGGAAACCAGATGCAGAACCGAAATTTTCTCAGAGTCCTTCATCCCTTCCAGTATACGAGAATGGAACAAACTTAACGTTGAAATTAGAAACTCTCGATCCCTTGCTATCTTTGGAAATTCACTAAATAAATTAGATACCATCGTGCCATCATATTACTATACAGGGATACGAAAATTACAAATAATCCACTGTAAACTAAGATCATGCTGCTCGAACCTACAAGGCCATAAATTCCTCAGACACGTCGATGATAGCCCTGCTTGCTTCTGTGGTCACAAATTCGAAGATACCGAACACTATTTACTCGTATGCCACTTATATTCAGATGCAAGAAAACGGACAATCCATAACCTTCAACATAATCATAAAACAATCAGTTGTCTGTTGTATGGGTCAACAAAACTTAGTCCAGAGATAAACACACTTATTTTCCAAGAAGTCCAACAATTTATTTTCTTATCAAAAAGATTTAAATCTCCATAAACAACTCTTAAGTCATTCCAAGCCCTGCACTCTGTATAGTCATCTAAGTCTCTATATTATCCATGATGTATCATATATGCTCTATATTTATGTTATTATGTATGTATGTATGTATGTATGTAAATATTTATAATGTGTACATGTATCTAAATCAGAGAGAGGGGTTACACATAGGCATAGCCTGTTCCCCAATCCAAATTCAGATTTAATGAATAAAAATATTGTTTAAAAAACCCCAAAAAAACATTGGTTGCGTCAGTCTGGTTGTAATCGGGACAAATTAGGCATGTTATTTGTGTACAAAAATAATAAGACTAAGGTCGCCGTCTTTTCTCTGAAGAAAAACCGACCGAACCAAACATACGGAGTTAAATCGCGAATCTTGATCAGTCCATCAACAAAAACTGTTCGTTTGATCCTGGAGTTTAACGTCTACTTCCACCTAGAATCAAATGAATGGTCTCCAATATTCATATCCCATTTTTTTTTTTTTTTAAATGAGTTGTTTATTTTTTGTATGTTTTTACTTTGTGTGTGTGTGTGTGTGGGGGGGGGGGGGGGGTCTGTGTGTGTGTGTGGGGGGGGGGGGGGCACGGGATGTCGTTATGACGGCCCAAAGCCATTGCGGCCAAAATTGATTTTGGTCAAAACAGCCCTCCTTTGCCGCCTTTGTTCATAACAGCCAAACAGTTTGGTTTAACGGCCAAACAATTTGGTCGTACAAAAAATTTAGTCATAACGGCCGAATATTACAATACAATGCCCTAGCTCTATTACAGGGGGTATAGGTTTATATGTTAATGTGGTCTTGTGTAGACTGACTTTTATGGATAAAATAAATGATTTTCATTTTTATAATCGTTCCGCTGTGGCTGGCTTGAGGTGATTTTTATTTGAACATTCAGTAAAATTTGACTTAGTTTGTTGATTTTTCAAGTATTTTTCAGTTCGGTCTGGTAGAACTCTTATTCCGATGAAATAAAACATTTCATTTATAATCCAAGAATTAGTATTTGATTGGAGATGAGAAAAATCCCTAAATGTGTCGTGGCTATATCGATGCTTCCAAATGTTCTTATTTGATTATTTATGAAAATTTGAAAAATTATTGATATTATCGCGAACCAGCATATCGATATGAGCTACCACTAAACATCACATCATGTTTTTAAATAAATGTCTGTAAAACTTCGGCTAATAGAGCATCCCAATGTTTTGATGACGAGGGCATGAAATCCACTATTTAGCGCCATGATGAGTGGGCAATATTCATCCCAAACTTATATATAATATATACTGAGCGCCATGGAAAACGCATCACTTTTTTTCCCAAATATTTTATTACTAGGTGGTTTTGTATGTATAATATTATGCAATACTGTGAACTATTGTTTCACACAATGCTCACAAACGCAAAAAATATCGGCCCGTGTGCAAAAAAAAAAAAAAAATTTGCACGAGATGCACATGAAAAACCCAATATTCACGTGCAGCATTGTGTGTGAGCCCTTTAAAAGCATGTTTTCAACTTAATGTGCAGTACATGAACTGTGAAACGTCAATCTGTCGTAATTTGTTGTTGGACGTGTGAAGGAATCGAGCTAGAGATGCCGAGACTTACTGAAAATCAACGGAATGAAGCCATGGGAATGTCCAGGGCTGGCATGTCTACACGTGCTATTGCCAGACACTTCAGTTGTCATCAGTCCACTATTGTAAGGTTGGTGGAACGTGTTCGAGTTACTGGATCAACACGTGACCGTCAACGTCCAGGGCCCTTATTCACGAAAACTTAAACTAAGATACAATCGAAATTTTAAGAAATACTGCAATTCGATTGGCTGACCAATATGCAAATTGGATATATGCAAATTGATTTTACTGGTCAGCCAATCGAATTGCAGTATTTCTTAAAATTTCGATTGGATCTTAGTTTAAGTTTTCGTGAATAAGGGCCCTGGTCCACAACGCGTTACAACCCAGGCTCAAGGCCGCTACATCCGGGTCACTCATCTGCGTGACAGATTCCGCCCAGCTACTCGAACAGGTGCAGCAGTCGTCGGAAGACAAGGACCAGTAAGTGCCAACACCGTAAGGCGTCGTCTAAGAGAAGTAGGACTCCGTGCACGACGACCTTATGTTGGAGCTATCCTCAGGGATCATCACCGTCAGCGGCGTTTGATATGGGCTCAAGGACACCAGACATGGAGAAGAGTAGACTGGCAAAGTGTGCTCTTCAGTGATGAGAGTCGCTTTCATCTTTATCACGCTGATGGCCGTCAACGTGTGTGGAGACGTCTTGCAGACTGCTGCGTCTTCGAAACGAATCGATGGGGTGGCGAAAGTGTAATGGTGTGGAGAGGCTTCACATTACATCACCGGACCGCCCTACACATTTGCAGGGGTCGCGTTAATGCTGTAGCCTA